CCGCACATGCAGGCACATGCCGCACAGTCGCATGCACATGCCCATGCAAATATACAAAAGCCTCAACAGCATTGCCGCACATGCGCGCACATGCCACACCGTCCGACGCACAGTCGAATGCACGGTCAAGCAAAACTCTGAAAGCATAGACGCACATGCCCGCACATGCCGCAGAGATGTCGCAGGCGATAGTGGCCTGACCACCTGAGCTCGGGGCATTTCGCAACCCAGAGTTCCGAGGATGTCTCAGGCAAGCGTGGCCGGATCACCATGGGGCAGGGCATCTTGGAAACCAGAGTGGCGAGGATGTCGCTGGTCAAGGTGACCAGACGACCATGGGGCAGGACACCTCCGAGGTCTGAGTTGTGAGGATGTCTCAAGCGAAAGTGGCCTGACCACCATGGGGCAGAGATCTCTGAGGTCAGAGTTGCGAGGATGTCTCTGGGGAGAGTGGTCTGACCACCTCAGCCCAGGGCATCTCGGAGCCCAGAGTTGCGAGGATGTCTCAGGCAGGACTGGCCTGACCACCTGCTCAGGGCATCTCAGAACCCAGAGTTGCGAGGGTCTCAGGCGAAAAAGGCCGAGACACTATGGAGCAGGGCATCATTGAGGTCAGAGTTGCGAGGATGTCTCAGGCAAAAGTGGCCTGAACAGCTCAACTCAGGGCATCTCGGGCGAGGATGTCTAAAGCGAAAGTGGTCTAACCACCTCAACTCAGGGCGTCTCGGAACCCAGAGTTCCGAGGATGTCTCAGGCGAAAGGGGCCGAGACACTATCGAGCAGGGCATCATTGAGATCAGGGTTGCGAGGATGTCTCAGGCGACAGTGGCTGACCACCTCAGCTCGGGGCATATCGGAATCGAGACTTGCGAGGATGTCTCAGGCGACCGTGGCCTGACCAGCATGGGGCAGGAGATCTCTGAGGTCAGAGTTGCGAGGATGTCTCATGCGAAAGTGGTCTAACCACCTCAGCTCAGGGCGTCTCGAAACCCAGAGTCCCGAGGATGTCTCAAGCGAAAGTGGCCGAACCACCATGGGGCAGGGCATCTCCGAGACCAGAGTTGCGAGGATGTCTCAGGCGAAGGTGGCCAGATCACTTCATGTCAACGCACGTCGGCCTCCAAATTGCCGACGACGTCTCACGCGGAACTGGCCGGACGCGAACGCGGCGGCGTCCGGAGACGAACGCCGGCCCCGGCATTCTTGCACGTCCCGCACATGCACTGCACAGGTACGCACAGTATTCGCACAGGCCGAGCTCGCCGGTGGCCGAGCCAGGCCAGCGACTCCGAGATTCCCTGAGCTCAGGCCGTCAAGCCACTTTCGCCTGAGACAGCCTCGCAACTCTCACCACCTCCTCCTCCTCCTCCTCCTTCTCCTCCTCCTCCTCCTCCTCCTCCTTCTCCTCTGGCCGAGCCGAACAGGCAGGCTGGCCAGTGGCCGGGGGCGCCCGCCTCCTCCGCCCCCCCCTCCTCCCCCCCCCCTCCACCTCCCCCCCCCCCATCCCTGCTTCTCCGGCCGAGCTGAGAAGGCGCGCGGGAGAGTATTTTATTAGGCGGGCGCGCCACCGCCAGCTCACGAACCGGGCGAATAACCGCCCCCGCCAGCAGCGGGCGAGTCTAAACGCACAACAAACTCTTTCAGGAAACCCTGGCACGCCCCAGGTTAGCTCTGCGAAGGCCAGGAGGCATTGGAGGCACAGGGGTCCCAGACAGCTCCTAGGGCATGAGCGTGCATGTGCATTGGGATGTGCACGCATGTGCGCCCGCGCGCTTCACCGCATGTGCGTGCATGTGCGGGCCCGCGCGGCCTCCCGAAGAGAGGTTGCACAGGCATGTGCGTGCATGTGCCGATGACAGATCTGCGATTCTCGAACACCTCCCGCATGTGCTGGCATGTGCGCGCATGTGCGTCGGAATGTGCGTGCATGTGCGTATGATGGATACATCAAAGCACAGCGCACATGCCCCCGCACATGCCCGGGCACGACGTGCACAGTAGGAAGTCCATCCAAGAAGGACCGCACAGGCCTGGCACATGACTGGCACATGCCGCGCACATGCGCGCACATGACAGCGCAAAAACGGCCGCACATACACCCACCCAGGGGTATAGATGTGAGTGCGGTGTACACCAAGGCGCTCAGACAAGCGGTGGACAAGACAACCAGACCCAAACAAGCTAAGGAAGAACAGCCAGCGACGGACAAAGAGGTCCAAGACATGGCGAACACAAGCGACCTCCAACTACTACTGCGGATTCGCTTATCAACATTACTCAAAACTATCACCCTGTATGCGCCACCGATCCTGAGACGGGTTCTGGACAACATGGCCAACATGAACGACGAAACGGGAAGGTTGACAAATCTGGCGCTCGAGGGCCTCAACTGGGCGCTGTGCCGAAAGAACGCTATGAGCCACAGAAAGGGCCAGCATTATGGATAGCGGTGGTACGAGAAAAAAACACACTATATACGACACAAGGTGCAACACGGCGTGGCACAATCATCTGAAGATCAACAAGGACATGATCCAAGCACGGCAAATGACAGCGAGACGTCGACGAGATCTACAATAAGGCCGCCCTCAAAGCAAAGACTTCAGAGACGGAAGCATGACACATCTGCTACCCGTGCGGTTTCACAATGGCGGCGAACCGAGGAGCATGAGCAGCGCACCGAAAGGAGCACCACCTGCTGGGTACGGCCCAAAGACACTCGCGAGACGGACAGTGTCCAGCATGCAAGAAGGACTTCATGGCCAGACGTCAAAGAAAGAGGTGCAACAAGTGGTGCGCATGGTACAACGAGCCCATGAGCCACGAGGAGACCAGCCACGTACGATAAGGACGCGGAGGACACCATAAAGCTAAACTACCAAGGACATCGGGCTGTCAACACAATCATCTCAATGATCGGCTTCGACGGTGCATATGGGCAAACGGAAATAGAACAGCGACCAGATGACGAACGACATGGAACCGATACCGACTATAACATCCATCTACACATGGTATAAAATACGCAACCCGAACAGACATAAGAAATAGAAAACCCAGGCGCGAACAAGTAGGGAATGAACGTGGTACTGATAGTAACGTCAGGACAAAGACGCACTGGAGACCTAAAGGATGAGCTGGAGCGGCACATCTACGACTTGAAGGGCACTAAGATCGACTGCAGCAGGATCGTGGTCGTCACGATCAACCTGAATGGCGAGCTCGACATCGAGAAATGGAACCACTACATCGACGAAGGGCTGGTCGTGGCGATGATAGTGGAGCCTCTACGGAGAACCTCAATCTCACACCAGCACGCTAACGACCAGGTCTGGGTCTCAGCCAACATCAGCATGAAGCAGCTGTTGGTACAGGTCGGGATGGAGAACGAGGCCCTGAGTAGCGCCGTGTAGCTGGCAGCGAGGGCGGCGGCCCAGCTAAGGCCCTCCCTGATGCTCCTCCCCTCGGCGGCGGTCGACACTGTGGAGGTCTTAGAGCGCGCCAGAATGGTCCGCAGCGATGGGAACAGAACAGAGGTCGAGGAGGGGGGAAAGAGAGAGGGATGATGACCCATCTTTGTACATATGGCGCTTAGCCCATAGCCAGCCCAACGTCGACCGACTCTTGGAAGATGAATGGCGTGCAGAGTTGAAGAGTTGCGGACATACATTCGTACGTATCCGACAGACTCAGAAGAAAAAAGTTAGCCGACCCCTCCGTATTACATGATCGGCTTCTCTGCCCCACTGGCAAGCAGAGGAGCGATCAAAACGGGTAAATGTGGTCGGCTGGCATTCGATCGCATGGTGATGGATCCCGCCTGCAAGTGCGAAACCCCACGATTGAGAGAGAAGGCAGGCGCGGTCGCGAGTTGAAACATTGAAACTGGCAAGTTTCTGCCCTGGAGCGAGCATCGGAGGCATCAACCTACCAAGTCCTTCTCCTCGTTCATCCCTGCACCATCCCCCTCCTCTCTGAGATTACACGCGCTGGCCCCAAATGACAACACTGGCAGCCTCTGGCCACTGTCATGAGAAGTTGGAGTCGCGCCTTGGCGCGAGAGCCAACTGAAAGGCGTCCAGAGTCCAGGGGAGGCAGCAGGGGGAGAGAGCGCCGAAGGCGTCGCGAGAAGGGCGGCCCAAAGGGACCAAAGCACAGCACGAGCCGCGCTGGTCCTACCAGCCTACGCAAGCCCGTAACCTGCGATGCGGCTTGGTGCGACTTCACAGCCTCTGGGCCGGTGTCACACCTTACCTGACTACCCACCAAGCCACCCCAACCCGACCCGAAGTCGCCGTTGGGCCTACCAATTTGCAGCGGGGGGCGTTCTGGAACATCGAGAAGACACAGGTGTAACCGTGCAACCCGTACACCACCCAACCCGAAATTTGGGTGGGTCCGGGACCTTCGGATTGGGCTGGAGCAGTTTGGTAAGTAGTGACTGTCTTATCCGCCTCCTCTCAGGGCTCAGATTCTTCGGTGGCAACCCATGGGAGCTTCTCATACCATCTTGTCGGCTTTTGCGAATCGACGCTGATCGACGCGTCGACGCTAATCGACGCTAAGTCGACGCTAATCGACGCTAGCCGACGCTAAATCGGCGCCATATCATCGACTCCAAAGCGCCAATCGGCGCTAGTCGACGCTAAAGACGGATTAAGGGGATATACCAGGCTCCCATAACTTGCTACCGAAATATACCCTCCTCCGCCGCGCCGTGGCCTTCGCCGCGGAATCGCGGGGACGCCGCATCCAGAGGCGGCAAGCGCGCGGGGGCGGCCCGCGGCTGAGGCTGCACTCACAGCGGGTTCAACGAAAGGGTTGGATAGCAAAAGGCAGAGTAGAGTATCAACTCACGTAGCTGGCTTCCCGGCGCCTCCTGGCACTGGGAGTCGCGCACGTATCGATGAACGGGCCTGGCAGGGGCGGAAACCAGCTGCATGCAGCAGATTCCGTACCCCCATTCTCTATCCTACCCTTTCGCCCTTCGTGCGGACCGATCACCGCGGGGTGGACGAGCCAGAGGAGGAGCTCGCCCTCGAGAAGCTGCCCGGGTCGGTCGGCGTCAAGCATGGCGAGCCTTTGCCGACCTGACTGTGCGCCTCCCGGAACTCGCGCATGAAGCGCAGGAGCTCGTCCACCGCGGCGTCCGGCACCGCGTTGTAGAGGCAGACGCGGACGCCGCCGAAGGCAGGGTGGCCGCCCAGCTGCAGCATGCCGCGGGCCCGCGACTCCGCCGCGAACTGCGCCTCCAACTCCGTCGGCTCCACCGTCGCGGTGATGCTGCCGTTCCACTCCCGCACCAGGCCCGAGTCCGCGCCGAAGGTGAAGCAGACGGTGGTCCGAGACCGGTACGGCCACGCCACCGAGTTCACGTAGAAGCCGCCAGAGCCGTCCACCTCCTCGTAGACGCGCCGCGCGCGCTCCTCGGCCCGCGACTCCAGGGCGGCCAGGGCGGATCCGCCGCCGGCGCCCCACTCCTCCTGAAGGCGCCGCATCACCTCGAGGCACATGTAGATGGAGAAGACCGGAGGCGTGTTCACGAGAGAGGGCACCGGCGCGGTGTTAGCGGAGGCGCCCCAATCGAGGATGCACGGCGTGTCCGGACGGGCCCGCCCGAGCAGGTCACGACGCACCACGACGAGGCACACGCCGGCGGGCCCGAGGTTCTTGCCCGAGGAGCAGTAGACCGCCACGTACCTCGAGAAAGCGACCCGCCTGGACAGTAGGGTGGATGTGAAATCGGCCACAAGCAGCCTGTCGCCCACATCAGGGTCCTCCAAGAACTCGAGGCCGTATATTGTGTCGTTTGCGCAGATGTGCACGTAGGCCGAGTCGTCCGACAGGTCCCAGGAGGACACCGCGGGGATCTCGCTGTGGCCCGACGCCTCCGAGCTCGCGACGACGCGCGTTTCGCAGTACTTCGACGCCTCCGACATCGCCTTGCGCGACCAGACCCCTGTGTCCACGAAGTCAGCCGAGCGCTTGTCCCCCAACAGGTTTAGCGGCACCGCGGCGAACTGCCCGTGAGCGCCGCCCTGCTGCCAAATGATCGCGTGGGAGGCGGGGACCTCAAGGATGTCCCTTACCGTGGAGGTCGCCTGCTGGATAGTCCTCTGCACGGGGCCGCCCTCGTCCTTCTGCGGCAACTCATGGGGGCCTCCTATACCATCTTGTTGGCTCTTGCGCATCGACGCTGTTCGACGCTACATCGGCGCGATCTCATCGATTACCAGATGCCAAATGGACTCGAATACACTCTAAAGACAAAGTTGCACTTGTATACGAGGCTCCCATAATTTGCCACCGAACCCGTCCCTGTGGCTCATCTCCATGATGCTCAGGCCCGTGCCCTCGAAGTCGGCTAGCTGCGCCGCGACGTGGAGCAGTAGCTCCTCAGGCAGCGCGCCAGGACCAGCGCTGAAGTTGTACGGCCTGGAGCGCTGCTGAGGGGCGGCCGTCGCGGCCATCGCTCTCGCCTGGTGCCCGCGGGGGGTGCGGCTGCCGAGTCCCTTGCGGGTGCGGTGGCTCTTTCAGCAAAATGCTGACGGCGCCTGATCCTGTGAACAGAATGCTTGGGCCAGAACGGCTGCGGAAAAGGGGTGCGAAGCAGGAAGGCGGGAAAGTTCCGCCTCAGACAGGTGGGGCGAAGTTGCGCAGAGGCATGGCAGAAACAGCGACGGCAGAGTAAGGCGGACATCGGCATCAGGAATGAGCTCGGGGTCCACCTGGCCGCGCTATGGGTCGGGGAAAACGGGCCAGGATGAAAAGCCGGCTCCGGGGAAGGGGTCAAGGCTTGGAGGCGGGCCGGTGGTCTGAGCCGAATAAGCGTGGAGAACATCGGTCAAGAGAGGGAGACGAAGACAAGCGCGAAGCACGAAGCACGCCCGCACATGGGCACCGACTTGTGTGCTGCGGGTGCGGCGTCAGGGCGCCGCAGCGTCAGGAAATGATGCCCGCTCAGTAATCCGATTCGACCTGGTACCAACTTCCAATCTCTCTCGCCCTTGAGGCTGAAGATCTTGATCTTGAGGCTGGAGGTCGAAAGGTGGAGGTCGAAAACTGGGAGTGTGAGGCTGGATAGTGGTTGTTGGCGGTGAGTGCTGGGGGCGAAGTCAAGTTCGCTCAAAGTCGGTCCACGGACCCCTCCCGCGGTCGAGGCTGGTCCGTTCTTTCGAGACGCGCCCCGGCCGTGGCGACAAGGGGGCTCGTCTCTCCCACCCCCCCCCCGCTGTCCGGATAACACATGTTGGGCCACCTCGGCCCCCCAGCCAGCTCCGGGGGGGACGCTGCGGAAAGACCACGACGGCAGAGTTCTCTGGTCGGCTTTTCGAGCCGCGCGTAGCCGTGGCGACAAGGGGGCTCGGGGGCCAGAACCCATGGTGGGCCACCTCAGCCCCCCCCGCCAGCTCCAAGTTGAGCGGTAACGATAAGGGGGGACTGGCATAAGGGAGGATGCATCGACCTGGAATCGGTGATACGTCGCCGCTAGATCGGCGGTAGGCCCCAGGTAGTGCAAGTTGGGGCTATGGGGCCCCTATCGGCGATCAGTAGGCGATTGGGGGTCGATGCGTCCCCCCCTATGCCAGTTCTCCCCTATCGTTGCCCCTGACAAGTCCAGGCCTCCGGGGGTGTCGACGTTGCGGAAAGACCACAGCGGCGGAGGTCTCTGGTCAGTTTTTCGAGCCGCGTCCAGCCGTGGCGACAAGGGGGCTCGCCTCTCCCCCCCTGCTGGCCAGGACTCAGCGCTGGGCAACCTCGGCCTCCCAGCCAGCTCCAAGTCCAGGAGGAGGAGAAGGAGGAGGAGGAGGAGGAGAAGGAGGGAGGAGGGAGGAGGGAGGCGGGAGGAGGGAGGAGGGAGGAGGAGGAGGAGGAGGAGGGAGGAGGAGGAGGAGGAGGGAGGAGGAGAGGGGGGAGGAGGGAGGAGGAGAGGGAGGAGGAGGAGGAGGAGGAGGAGGGGGATGATGATGATGATGATGATGATGATGATGATGATGATGATGATGATGATGATGATGATGATGAGATGATGATGATGATGATGATGATGATGAGGAGGAGGAGGAGGAGGAGGAGGAGGAGGAGAGAGGAGGAGGAGGAGAAGGGGATGATGATGAGGAAGAGGAGGAGGAGGAGAAGGGGATGAGGAGGAGAAGGAGGAGGAGGAAAAGGGGATGAGGATGAGGAGGAGGAGGAGGAGGAGGAGGAGGAGGGAGGACGAGGAGGAGGAGGAGGAGGAGGAGGAGGAGGATGACAAGTGTAAACCCAAGAGCCATCAACGATGTTGCAATACACCCTCCCTCCAAGCTCCCTCTTCATAAGCCCCTACAGCGCTTCATTTCCATTGAGGGATCTGCCTCGTTGAAAGACAACTGTTTGAAGACACGGAAGCATGCCAAAACATTGTTCTCGGGATTCCAACGCCACATATCAACCTGATTGTTGCGTCTTGACGATCCTGGGTCGTGCCAGAACGCCTTTCTTGGGAATTCAACACCGCGAATCAACACAACTGCTGCACCCGCAGAATCCTAAATCATTCCAAACATACCATTTCTGGTACGGTGATCGTGGGAATCCGTGAAATTATTGCAAATGTTATGAACGAATTTGCGCGGCGCTGAAGCAAGAGCCGCATTTTGAAAAGGAGCCGACCTCAATCCGTGAAACTATTGCATATGTTGAGAACGAGTGTGCGCGGCGCTGAAGCGATTTTGAACACGGGAGTTCCTCAACTCGTGAAGCTCTTGCGAATTCATAAAACGAATGTGCGCGGCGCTAAGGCGAGAGCCACATTTTGAAAACGACTCGCCCTCCATATGTGAAACTGTTGCCAATTCGCGAGCTTCAGGATCGTATATGTTGAGGGAGTCTCGAGCGAAACGCCAGGTCCGCCCTACAAACTAGCCTCGGGGTGCGACAAGGAGGAGGAGGAGGAGGAGGAGGAGGAGGAGTAGGAGGAGGAGGAGGAGGAGGGACGTTGCGGAACGACCACGGCGGCGGAGTTCTGGGGCATGTCGGACGGCGACGGGCGGCTGCGAGCGGGCGGCGGGTGCGAGCGGGCGGCGGCGGCACGGCGCTCGTGCGCGTCGCCGCGGGCGCGGCCCGCGGAAAGGAAGGAGGCAGAGCAGCGGCACGCCTCGCTTCGTCGGTCCGCAGGGCCGTCGATCTGCCAAGAGGCCCCCCAAGAGGCTCCCAGGTGGCTCCCCTGAGGCCCCCGAGAGCCTTCCCAGGAGACCCCAGGAAGCATCCCTGAGGGCTCGGGCCCACGTCAGCGTCGTCGTCGTCGTCGCCACCGCCGCCGTCGTCGTCGACGTCCCCCTTCAGGGTCGGGGGCACCGGCCGCAAGGCCTTCGCAATAGGAAGCAGTAACGATACGCCGCGGTTCGTCTGCCCGCAGGGTCGCCGATCTGGTCGATATTAACCAGATCTGGCTCTTCACTCCCCAGTTGCTTTCCAGTTTCCCGCTGCAGTGTTCATCGACATCCTCGGCATCCTTGTATAGTCGCGATCATGTGGCGAGTTCCATCGTGTACGGTACTCATGAGATTCATGAATCATGTTCCTCTCGCTGCTCGCCTGCGTCTGTTCTGCGCTACGGTGTGGTGTACTTGAAGCTCTGCTGGCTCTGCGGTTGTGATGTCATGTCGGCACGCCCCGCACTGGCTCGGCCAGGACTGAGCCGAAGCCTGCCCCTTGTTGCAGTGGCGTGCCCCGAGCGAGGAGGCGAGCGGCTGCGCTCCGCCAAGCCAGGTTTGGGCCCACGGCCCGGCGCAGCCCGCAACAGGTGGCATCTGGAGGAAAAACGTTGACGAGGAAGCCGTGACGATATGCCGTGGTTCGCCAGCTCGGCCGGCGAGGAACGAGGAGGAGGGAGGAGGAGGAGGAGGAGGAGGAGGAGGAGGAGGAAGAGGAGGAGGAGGAGGAGGAGGAGGAGGAGGGAGGAGGAGGAGGAGAAGGAGGAGGAGGAGGAGGAGGAAAGGGAGGAGGAAGAGGAACAGGAGGAGGAGGAGGAGGGAGGAGGAGGAGGAACAGGAGAAGGAGGAGGAGGACGACGAGATCAGGAGGTGGAGCGCCCACCCGCGCTCGGCACATCGCCTCGGGGAGCCCCCCCGGCGCGGCCAGGCGGGCCTCCCGAGGGCGAGCCCGAGACCGCCCTCTGCGCGCCCCAACAGATCCCATCGGGGCCCGGGGGGCGCCGAGCGCGCAGCGGCGGGCTCTCTGTGAGGAGAACAGGTATCGTGTTGGGAGGATCCCTGTGACCCCAGAAGGGGGTCCAGCTGAGAGGGGGCGGTGCAATGAGTTTTGGGGCAATTGTGTGGCAAACGCATTGCGCCAGAGAGTTGTATTGCATTGTGTTGCAACTGATGTATTGCACGCGGAAGCCCAGCAATACGTTTGCGCACTGGAATGTATTGCACACCCCTAAACCTATTGCAATCCCACTAATATATTGCACCAAATCAATTGCACCACCCCCTTGTCGCTGAACCCCCTCTTGGGTCAACCCGAGAGGAAGGGGTTGGAATGATGAAGGGTATGAGCAATGTCATCCGGATGCAATGAACAATACCTTCGGCCGCCTGCGGGAAAGGATCTCCTGATCTCTCCCAGCCTCATCCTCCCAACTCGATGATTGCCTTCCTGACTCTGGAGTTTCCAGCCGCTTCCTGGTCCGGGGGCCGTCAGAGACGACGCAGAGTGAGGATCTGGCCCAAAGGGGAGCGATCGAGATCCCTGGGGAGTCGATGCCATGAGAATACTGCAGCGTCGGGAGGTGCGGCCGCACAGCTGCTCCCGGCGGCCCCCAAGACGAGCCCGATGACAGAAAGAAACTTCCTGAAAGCACACCACGGCCGCTTCCCATAATCGCAGGGAGTCTCGCGGAGGGCCCAGAGAATCTCTCGAAGCTCTTCAGAAATCGCCCGCTGTGCTCCCAAGAAGCACACCGAAGAGACCCCCAAGAAGCGCAGCTGCCCAGCAGCGCTGCAGCCGTGACCCCGCTGTGGCATCGCCGTGGGGCTTCCTTGGGCGCGGTGGCAGATGCGCGATGCAGCGCGGCGGCTTGTGCCCCCCGTGTGCCCTGCACGCGCTGCAAGCGCGCACACTCCCATTCCCTCGCAGCGCTGGCGCGCGCACGGCGGGTCGGCCGAGGGCGGGGTGCGCGATGGCGAATTGGCACCAGGGCAGGGGCGAAGGGAAGAGCGCGGCCGCGGAGGGAGGGGAAACCGTGGGTGGCGCTGGGAACAAGATGGACTGGTCTGGCTGCCGGTGCTGCAGCCCAGGCTCCGAGTGGAATCGTGCAGAGGGGCAGCCAAGAGAACTGCTCTCTCTCTCTCTCTCTCTATCTCTCACACACGCACCCAGTGGTGCTGTACGAACATCTTGCTGTGCACATAGGCGCTGTGTGCATGCGTCGGCTCGCTTTTCTTCTTCCGTCGCTTCCGCATGCCTTCCGCCCCCTCTAGCG